GGGCCGGGGTTGCGGGGCCCCCGCCGGCCCTCAGCCCCCGCCCGGGCCCCGGCCCGCGCTCCCCGCCCCTCCGAGCGCTGCCTCAGCCTTTCCGCCTCCCCTCGGGAGCACCGCGGCCCCCTGGCTGCTGCTCCGGCTCCTCTCTGCCCCCCATCTACCCTCAGCCATTCTGCCTCCCCTCAGCCTTCTCCAGCCTTCCTTACCTCCCCTTAGCCTTCCTCCTCTCCTGTCGGCCTTCCCCATCCGTGCCCCCCAGGCAGTCTTTGCCTCCCCAGTGCCCCTCTGCCATCCGGCTGGCTCTGGCTCCCCACGCTGTCCCCAAACCTCCCAGGAACGAGCAGGGCTCCCCAGCCACTGTAGCCGCCAGGGAGATCCTTTCATCTCAGCCACCAGCGCGTCTTCATGGTGCTGTTTCTCTCTCTAAAGAACCTTGGGCTGGATGACCCACTGTGGTCCCTTCCAGTTTAGGACTGCTTCCGTGATTCTCTCCCGGTGCAGAGCTGCCCGAACGCATTACACAGGCCATCGGTGCCACATCCCACACTTGATGGCCCCTCAACTGCCCAAACAGCACAGCAACTGCCAGCAGAGACCCCAAGGCCACCAAGACCATCATTCCAACCTACGTGTCACAGCACTCTGGCGAGGAAGGGCTTCCTCAGCCCCTTTCTTCATCCCCTAGCATCTGAGTCTGTCCTGTGTCTGGAAAGATCTCTGTAGGCACCAGCTGGTCAGCAGGCATAGTCCTGGGACTGGGCTGGCCTGCAAATTTGCATTTAAAAATTAATAAATAAAACAGTTGTGGTGATTCAAGAATTTCTTGCATGGCAAATGGCTTCATCAGATTGTCCCTTTCTCAGATCCAAGGATGCCAGTTCCAGGCACCTTGTAACGCAGTGGAAGATGTGTCTAGTCCCAGCTACTGACTTCACCATTGGCTGGGAAAAGACCCATCAGGTTCATTGGAGAGAAAAAAATATATAAGACAATTGTTTTGCTTCCACTCTTCCTTTTTAATGAAACACTTTCTAGTGTTTTAAGCAAAACACGACTTTTCATTTTGAAATTTCCTTTCGAACCATTAAAATGTTTTAAAGCGGTTGAAGGCGCAGTGAGATGTTTTGATTTTTGTCGCTCTGAAATGTTTCACTCAACACGTTCTTCATGTGTCTTGATTTGCCAAAATTTTTCAAAGGTTTCTGCTTTCTCACCCAAGACATATCTGTATGTTTTTTACTTTTCTGAAAAGGAGAAAAAAAAAAAAGGAGAAAAAATATTATCATCTCCATGGCTCCACAGGAAGCAGAACTGTATCCAAGAAACGAAGAGCCAAGGGACTCCTCTCCAAAGGTCCAAACTTTCAGACACTTAGTCATCCCTTCACTTGCTTGCTCACATACCAAGTCTAGACATTTGCTGTCTCAAACCCTGGCAGGGACTCTCCCACCCCCACAGGTCAGCCCAGGGTCTTTTGGGTTTGATTTTGAGCGGCTCCAAGGACAGACAGTGCAGCAGAGCTGAGCATGCGCAGCGGGAAAGGGAGCACAATGACAGTGACCTTGGGGACTATAGGGTGCAGTGGCCTGTTGACCCTCCTGACTCTTGTTTTGAACATCCTTCCCTATTTTCTGAGTCACAGTGTGATGCTTCAGCACATCAGGCTGGAGAAAGCAGGAGCCAGGAGACCTTCCAAGCTGCTCCAAGGGAAGCATCCCAGCACAGGATCTTCGAGGATCTACGTACCAGTGCAGAAATGGCCAGGATTCTGCCTCTGCTGTCTGCTGGAGTCTGTAAAATCCTTCCTGTCAGAGATAACTAATCCTGGGGCCTTTACAACACCTCTCCCGAAAAGCACATTTCATTCCTCTGTTTCCTCCCGCCTTCCAAGTGCATGAGATTGCAATAGGTATTACCAAAAATATTCCCCGTGGGAGCCGACACTGGACTCCCTTAAAACCCAAACACCATCACCCCTCCTTCCCCAAGACACAAGTGAGCACTATGCTCTATTATCTCTACACCCACTAAATCTTTCTGAAATAAAGAATAAACATTTCCACCACACATAGTGTAAGTGTGTGTGCCAAGCTGCCTCGCTTCCTCTCCTCTGTGGTTATTATAAAGTGGTTTTGTTTCAATGGCGTAGCAGATGGACAGTGTCCAAGTCTGGCGTCCCCACTCCCCCCGAGTACGTCGAGCTATCTTTGGTTTATCACAGATTCCTGCAGAAAATGTTTATGGGAGCCTCTTGTTTAAAATCTTGGCCGCGTCACAGCGTAATTCCTATTATTTATTAAATGAAAATCAAGCTGTTGTTAATGCACCATTACTGTGGCAAAGTGGAGCCCTTGGAAATGAAGGCCAAGCGCTCTCTCTCATTCTTCGAGCGCGAGGGGAGCATCCCACTGTCACCATCTCTCAACACTCACTAAGCCACCGGGATGAGAAGCAATTTCCTGGCCTGGGACTCCTTAAACATTTCCTTTTTGCTGAAGAGAGACTCCTTTGCTTTGCTGCCCCAAACCTGACCTCCCAGAGCCAGCCAGTGCACAGATCATACCTCACACCATCAGAGGGGCTCTGTCTCAGACGCTGCTTTGGCCGTGCCCTTCTTCATTCACCATGACCAAATTAATTTTTTTCTCTTCTGCAATTTTCCTCTAACAGAAAATTTTCCATGGAAAACCCAAAGCTCTTTCTATTTCCCAGAAATAGTCCCTGTAACACAATGAGTGTTCTATGTCCCTGTAACACAATGAGTGCCATATAGATGGTCCCATTTATATTGAAGTGTGGCAGTGTTTACATTCCTAACTGGTTTCCAGAGGAAATTCTAAAATTTTCCTGGAAATGTCTTGTTGCTTTGAACTGATTGTTTATTTGTCAATTTAGTCATTAACCTTCTTCCTTACTCCTCTGGCTTTTGATAAGACAGACAATGTCAAAGGGACAGGAAATAGGCTCAGAATGATTTCCCCTGGTGAAGCATCCCAGTCCCCAGAAGCAAAGGGAGTTTTCTCATCAATTTGAGCGGAGACACAGCTTCACTCCAGGTGCCAGGTTAAATCAGCCTTCAGGTATTTGCAGGGTTTGCGTGTTAGACTTTAGGTCTTCTGGAGGGATCTCAACCTGGGGGGAATCTCAAAGCCCTTTCAAAATGAGCTAAACACCACTGATCCCAGTAAAGATGGGAAGAGCCAGGAATATATTCCCACTCATTCCATTCCCAGCTTCACCTTCAACCCATGTGTCACACGAACTCTGCCATGGTCATGGTCTGTTCTATTAAGAAATACATGTCTTATTTAATACACTGCTTATTAATATTATCTATTAATGAAATTTGTCATAAATAAACTGACCACAAACAAAATCCTAAAACTACAAGAGAGTGAAACAAATTCTATTCACGCAAAAATTTGTGGTACATAAACTGTTTGTTACTTATTCAAATACAAGTAACAAAATTCCTACCACCAGAAGTTTACCAAAAAGAAAAACGTCTTTTCCCAATAGCTGACATAAACATGTAAGTGCTACCAAACATATTTACATGTTTGAAATAGATGGTATAATTACAATGAGTTATAGCCAATATTCAGACTTTCCCTGGTTTAAATACTACCTTCTGATACAGCACAGCACATCCTTTAATTGTGGTCACGTGCTCCTTCTTAGAGACTGCTGCAATTTTTTTTCCACAAAAACGTCTATAATTGAAAAGAAAATGGCATTGTTTAAAATAAATTGTCTACCCTCCTGGAAATAAACAGGTGACTTCCCCCATGGAATGTCCTATTTCTGGAACTTCTATATCACAGCAAACCATCTGCAAAATAATTTTGGACATTTTTCCGGACCCCAAACTTGAATTTCAGCAAGGAAATGCAGTTTTTCAAGACAGAAAAAATAACCTCCAAGAAGGATTTTGAAAACAAGTCAGGTAAAAGCTGTCAGTGGAAATAGCAACAAAAGCAGTCATAGAGTCCTCCAATAAAAGCAGGTCCATTCCAGACTCAACAAAAAAGGTCTTTTACCCTCTTTCAACCGGTACTGATGTTCCTCAAAGGATACAAATAGCTGTTAAATTCACAGCTTTTATCTAGAGAGTCTCACATTTGTGCAGTGCTTAAAAAAAGAGAAAAAGCCACATTAGAGGTACGAACACATGACTGTATTCCACAGCTTCTCCATGAGCTCCCACAAGTCAAGCCTCCTAATGAGACCTCCAGACCTCTCCACCACCATCAGGATGGGCTCTCTTTTGTGGGAAGCCTGTTTTCAGATGATTTACTGAGAAGGTTTATCCCCAGACTTCTTGTACAGGCAGGGACATGGAGAGACAAGAGAAATTAAGGCCTTACCCCTGGGAGCCACCAGCAAGAACCAAGGTTCTCACTCCAAGGTCTCATGGAATACCTGCCTTGGGCACAGTGTCTGTGAAAGGAATCCCTGCTACCCCCCTGTAAGCTAGAGCTAACCAGAATGACTTTCTTTGCATCTCAGATGCAGACTCATGGTTTTTGGGATATATTTTCCACCACACCATCATCTCCCTTCAAATGGTCTTTATGGAGTTCATC